AACAAGTGTCCTCAGTGGAAGATTTCCTTTCGCTTCCTGTCCCATTGCCAATGGGGACACTAGTTCTGATGATCTAATGTTACCTGCAGGCTTTGCTACTTGTAATGAGGATCATCACGGAGAACCAGATAATCAGTATATATTCAGAATAGCAGTTTTTGTTCCTATTTAAAAAGGACGATTGGATTATAGCCATAAAAAAAGAAAAAAAAAATAGCAAAAAAGCAAGAACTTTTTTTTTTGGGGGGGGGGGGGGGGGGAAGGGAAGAAAGAGGGATCCGACCCCAAGTCAGGTTTTTATTGCTGTCTGTGCCCCCATTGGGGAGATTCACCCTCCCTATTCGTCCTGCTTACCATCATCACTGAAAGTAAATGTAAAAGGGTTGTCCCCAGAAAAGTAATAGAGGGAGAAATCTTCCAGTGGGGACACTAGTTCTGATGACCTAGGGATTCCCTTAATTTGCAGGGATTTCTTTCCCTTCCTGTAGGGAAGATTTCCCTTCACTTCCTGTCCCCCACTGCCAAACAGGAAGCGAGAGGAAATCCTGCAAATGAAGGGAATCCCTAGGTCATCAGAACTAGTGTCCGCATTGGCTATGGGACAGGAAGTAAAGGGAAATCTTCCAATGGGGACACTAGTTTTTGGTGACCTAGGGATTCCCTTCATTTGCAGGGATTTCCTCTCACTGTATGTTAAGTGAACAACCCCTTGAAAGTGGTCCGCAAAACACGGTGCGATGTGCAGAATCCGATCGCATGGGTGTGAATAGCCATAGATGGGATGAAAAACGGCCGAAAAAAAAAAATCAGCCGATTTTCGGATCGTTAGTGCGGTAATCGGTCGGCCGTTTTTTAGTGATTTTTGCCCTTTTCAATTATCGGTCCTGCTGGAAACAAATTGGCCAAAATTTGTCGTTCTGCCGATTTTTTTTGCGCCAATGATGGACAAATCTGCCGATCTTTTTCCGATTTTAAAAAATAATGCGCATGAGCAGTGACATGAAAGAAGAAAGGAAAAGAAAAAGAAAAAAATAGATATGAATGAGAAGCAGAATAGAATATGAATAAAAAGAAGAAATAGAATATGAAGAAAGAAGAAAAAAAAAAGAATTTCAGTCAGATATTATATTTGACATTTAAAAGTATAGCAACATTGTATCTATTTGTATCCGAATAGAAACATCTGTATCTGAAATGGATACAAATAGATACAATGTTGCAACTTTTTCTTCTTCTTCTTCTTCATATATTCTATTTCTTCTTCTTCCGCATAATTCTATATAATTGCCGGCAGTAGACGGGATGAAAATAAATCAGCCAACTTTTTTTTTACCAATGGTGGTAAACGTCGGCTGATTAAACGACCGATTTTTCATTTTTCTAAAAAAAAAAAAAAATGGATGGTTTTCTCCCCGTCTATGGCCTGCATAACTTCAGCTTGTTTCAATGAAGCTTTGACAATAAAACCTGAAAGCTGATTGGCTCCCATGCACAGCTGCACCAGATTTTGCACTCTCCAGTTTTAGTAAATCTCCCCATTGTGTGCATGTTTGTTGCCGTGACATTTGCAGCACTCGGTAGGTCTTGTGTTGCTCCCTGGAAGTAGTTTATATCGGCAGTATTCTTGTTTAGCAAAAGCACATTAATACAACACCGGGGGGGGGGGGGGGGTGTGTTTCCTTTCGTTGCTGCAAAGATTTATACAAACGGATGAAAAAAAGAAAATGCAAGACGGGGAGGAGGCAGCAATAAAAACATTGTCAGAACTTCTAATCCACATGACCCGCAGGTCAACTCTGGCCCACCGGGTTTATTTCATGTGGTCCTCGCACCTCTCCTGCAGGTGTGTCTACCCCCTCATCTCCGCACCCACCTCAGCAGTCAGTAGCAGAGATGAGGACAAAAACTGCTCCTACAGATGCAGCACCTCCTCGTCTCACCATTCAGCCATCCTCCGGTCCTCCTCCAGACCCTGCACTTTCTGCTTCCCACCTGTGCCCCCCCCCCCCCCCCCCCTGGCTTCTTCCAGCAGCAGCACTGCCCCAATCTATAACTGGCCTTCACAGCAAGGAGCACACAAAAGGACGACGCATGTCAAACAATAAGGGCTGATTCACACTACATGCATTTCAGCTGCTTTTTTTTTCTGCATCCAAAACGCACAGGAAGTACATTATATGGTTGTCAATGTCATAGTTTCACATCAGCGCTTGCCGTTCCAGTGCGCAAAAAAGTAGAACAGGCTGCATTTTTTTTTTCCTGCACAGAGCTGTACTGGAACGCACTGGAATCCACAAGTCCCTATTTAAATTGAAGAAAAAAAAAAAGAGGAAAAGATGAACTGGAATGCATAAAAAAAAGCATTGGAACGCGTGTTGAAAACGTGCATGCGGAAACGCGCCTGGAACGCATCTGGACTGCGTTTCTATAGCATGAACCGGCCCTAAAAGAGAAAAATTCCCAGCGCAACTTACCGACAGGCTTTGTTAACCTCTTGTGCGCAAATGTGCGGCCTCCCGGCGTCTGAGCCTAGATGCTGAGCGGCCGCACATTTGCGTTCTATTAAAAAAAGCACATATGTGCTGAGCGTGTGCGCCCTGCACTCTCCAGCACACACGTTCGGTACTCACGGAAAGGTCCCCATCTCCTCTTTCGATCGGGACCTTTCCTGATCATGTGACCGCTGACCCTAAAATCCTGCCTCCCGGCTTCTGGAACCCTTAAAGGGCCGGGAGGCGCCGATGCCAAGGGGTTATTTATTTATTTCAGGTACTTATATAGCGCTGTCAATGTACGCAGCACTTTACATATATATTGTACATTCACATCAGTCCCTAATCCTCAAGGGGGTACAATCTAAGGTCCCTAATCCTCAAGGGGGGTACAATCTAAGGTCCCTAATCCTCAAGGGGGGTACAATCTAAGGTCCCCTAATCCTCAAGGGGGGTACAATCTAAGGTCCCTAATCCTCAAGGGGGGTACAATCTAAGGTCCCTAATCCTCAAGGGGGGTACAATCTAAGGTCCCTAATCCTCAAGGGGGGTACAATCTAAGGTCCCTAATCCTCAAGGGGGGGGTACAATCTAAGGTCCCTAATCCTCAAGGGGCGTACACTCTAAGGTCCCTAACTCACATTCATACATACACATACTAGGGCCAATTTAGACAGGAGCCAATTCACCTCCCAGCATGTTTTTGGAGTGAAGAAGGAAACCGGTGTACCGGAGGAAACCCATGCAGGCACAGAGAGAACATGCAAACTCCAGGCAGGTGGTGCCGTGGCTGGGATATGAACCAACAACCTGAGTACTGCCAGGCGGAAGAGCTAACCACTTAGGGTTAAAAACGGGGGTTTACCTTCCGGCTCACCTGCCCTCAGACTATCTATTATTATACATGTGCCTCTACTATGGGGGCTCTCAAAATTTGGAGTTAGGAACTGCAGAATATCGGGGTGCTGTGAAGAGGCTCTGCAGCTTACGCATGTATTTGCAAATGTGTGCAAAACGAAACCCCTGTTTTTAACACATACTGCAAGACAGGATAATTCTTTGCAAGCTGGTCGGTAAGTTGAGCCGGGAATTTTTCTCCCTCCGGGCAGCAGCACGAGGTAAGTGGAGGGCTGTGATATAAGGGAGGGTGGGGGGGACTGTTGACTACTTAGGATGGGAGGGGCCCTTCATATCTGATGTAAGGGGGGGGGGGGGATGCCCCGGACATCTAGTCCTTTGGGGGCAACCATAATGCTGATGCTGCCTGCAATGACCTGGAGTTTGAGACCTCCGTTTGAGAGTTTGACACCCCGTTTCAGAGCTTGAGACCCCCGTTCTAACTCTACCATAAATGTGTTTTTTGCCTTTAGTAAGCTGCACCCCTATGAGTACGAGCTTTTTTGCTCAAAACGCGTCAGAGAAAGCTACAGTAGGTTGGACACCATGCCGCCTGCGCCACGAGGGGCCCCGGCGGCCATCTTTGTTTGCATCTGGCTCTGGTGAAAACCAGCCAGATCTACAGAGCAGCCGCATCTATCCGAGTGCCAGGCAGCGAAAGTCATGCTGACCAGATCTGACCAGACCAGTCTGATGACACCAGAGGTCCAGTGACAGTATATACAAATGCGCATAAAGATTGCGTATCTGGTGAGTGCGCAATCTTTACATTACTTATCACTTGCGGTTCCAATTATTGGACGTCTGAGGATCATCCCGGATCTTAAGAGCACCCCTTCATTGGACTCTTTTATTTATTTTGCACTTCTTTCACTTTATAGCCACCATCCAGTGGCTTTTATTTTATTAGCACACAGTCACTGTCTATTATATGAATTTGATTCTTGATTTCATTATTGTCTGTTAGTTTGTATAGCGCTGCACCTCCCCCTCCTTTGTATACATAAAATGTGTTTTTGCCTTAAGTCTTTACAGGAAGTTCTCCCCAATAAAAATACACACACAGCCATAAAAAACCAGAAAAGGGGCCCCAATCCTTCCCCATTCTACCAAAATAAAATGTAAAGTTTGGACTGAAGTTGGCCTTTAATGGCAGTTATATCCAAGCAGATGGTTGGCAGTGTCTACAAAACGTATTCCCCGCTGAGTGACAGTTGCACACAGAATTCTTTGCTACACATTTGTGCTTTAAGTGCTCAGTTGTAAAAAGGAAGAAAAAAAAAAAATGGTTGACTGGAAATGTAAGAAACAAAATCTAAAAGGGACAATGTCCCCACTAATATTAACCCAAGAGATGCCACGTAAAGTCTGCAGGGACTGCTCCCGTCCCCGCCATGGCCACGGTTTAATCGGCAGCCGCCTCTCACTACTCACGGCGACATAGAAGGGTCAGTGCACTTCGCTCGGTCAGCAGTCCTGCCGGCAGCCCGATACGCGTCTCCCGTACTGGAGAGTCGGCCCGCTGGCACCTACCCTGCAACGGCTATGCAGCACGGACTCCTCTGCATGGGTAACAAATGTGATGCATGCAAGTATTGATGCTGTAAGGACATGAACATGGTGGGGGGAGGACACTGCACCCTTGTATCGGCCTCCTGTGGTGCGCTAGGTGTCCGAGTCTTCCTCCTCCTCCTCCATCTCCTCATCGTTATAACCCATTGTGTCCAGCTGCAGCTGAGTCTGATTGATCACACTTTCATCATCCACATTCTTAGGATCCTGTAATAGAAATAGGAGACTGTCAGCTGTACAAAGTCACTAATGGTGACAAAATGAACCACGTCCCCCCCCACCCTATAGCAGAAATACTGCTACAGGGCGGCTGGGCTGTGCAAAATCATGTACATATATGTGATTTTCATTTCTGGGTAGGGAGCGACCGCCACCCTACCCGCACTGCCATTGGTGGCTAGGGATGTCAATCACCGGGTCCCTGATGGAGATTCTCTGCCGGCACCCGGCGATCGTCGAGGACAGGGGAGGGACCTGTGTGTAAACAAAACAGGTCTCTCTCTTGCTAGCAAGGACATGCTGCTGTGTATCTCCCTAGTAGCACACTGGGTGATTACTGAGCATCTCTGATTGGGAGGAAGGCTGTTTTGTTTACAAACAGCCAAACATCCTTCCTCCTGTCAGCTTGGGCACCCTGCACAGCACAGCCATCCTGATCAGTGAAGCACCCCCCCCCCCACCCCCCCTAATAAAACACTCCCTACATATAGTTAACCCTTTGATAGCCCCAGATGTTAACCCCTTCCTGCCCAGTGCCATTAGCACAGTGTCAGTGCTTTTTATTAGTACTGACCACTGTATTGGTGTCATTGGGGATGTCAGTGGCAGTTAAGTCAGTTCCCCCCCCCCCCCCAGTGTCAGAATGCCCGCCGCAGTCCTGTTATAAGTCGCTGATCGCCGCCATTACTAGTATAAACAAAAAAATTTTAATAAAAATCCCAGTATTTATACTGCCATTTGTAAATGCTATAACTTTCACGTAAACCACATTAATTTACACGTATTGGGATTTTTTTCTTTACCAAAGACACGGAGCAGAATACATTTTGGCCTGAATTTATGACTAAATTAGATTTTTTACATTTTTTTATTGGATGTTTTTATAGCAAAAAGTAAAAAATATATTTTTTATTTCTCAAAACTGTCGGTCTTTTTTTTTTTTTTAATAGAGATTCTCCGCCGGCACCTACCGATCACCGAGCAACACTTACAGGGGAGAGATCTGTGTGTGAACAATACAGGTTCTCTCCTACCAGCAGTAACATGCTGCTATGCATTTCTCTGCACAGCAAAATCATTTCATATACAATTATTGGGATTTTTTTTTTAGTAAAGACACGGAACAGAATATAAATGTAAAAAAAGGGGGGGTGCAGCGCTATATAACTTAGCAAATAATAATGGATCAAACACAGATGATAAACAATAAAAACAGTGACTGTGTGTTAATAAAGCCACTGGATGGTGGCTATGAAGTGAGGGAAGTGAAACAGTCCAATGGAGGAGTGCTCTTAAGATCCAGGATGATCCTCAGACGTCCAATATTAGGAACCGTCAGGTGATAAAAAATGTAAAGATTGCGCACTCACCAGATACGCAATCTTTTCTGCGCATTTGTGTAAAATATCACTGGACCTCCTGTGTCGTCATCCTGGTCTGGTCAAATCTGGTCAGCATATCCTTCTTTGCCTGGTACCCGATAGATGCAGCTATTCCATGGATCTGGCTAGTTCCCACCAGAACTAAGTGACATTGAAACTCACGTTACTTCCCATCCACTACAGGGACCCGGAAGTGATGTTGGCGGAGGAACAGGAAATGGGCGTGGTAAGCGCGAAGTTCACTCCGCGCTTACCACGCCCATTTCCTGTTCCTCCGCCAACATCACTTCCGGGTCCCTGTAGTGGATGGGAAGTAACGTGAGTTCAATGTCACTTAGTTCTGGTGGGAACTAGCCAGATCCATGGAATAGCTGCATCTATCCGGGTACCAGGCAAAGAAGGATATGCTGACCAGATTTTGACCAGACCAGGATGACGACACAGGAGGTCCAGTGATATTTTACACAAATGCGCAGAAAGATTGCGTATCTGGTGAGTGCGCAATCTTTACATTTTTTATCACCTGACGGTTCCTAATATTGGACGTCTGAGGATCATCCTGGATCTTAAGAGCACTCCTCCATTGGACTGTTTCACTTCCCTCACTTCATAGCCACCATCCAGTGGCTTTATTAACACACAGTCACTGTTTTTTATTGTTTATCATCTGTGTTTGATCCATTATTATTTGCTAAGTTATATAGCGCTGCACCCCCCCTTTTTTTACATTTACGTCCTTGAAGGTTTGATACGGTGCCTTTTTGGTGTACAGCTGCTGCTCATTATTATATCTATTCAAGCGCTCACTTATTTTTGTTTTTTTCACGGAACAGAATACATTTTGCCAAAATTTATGACGAAATTAGATTTTTTTTTTTATTGGATGTGTTTTTAGCAAAAAGTAAAAAATATTGTTTTTTTTTTTTTCAAAATTGTCAGTCTTTTTTTTTGTTTATAGAGCAAAAAATAAATACCGCAGAGATGATCAAATACCACAGAAAGAAATCTCTATTTGTGGGGAAAAAAATGACAAATTTAATTTATGTGCAGCGTTGCATGACTGCTCAATTGTCAGTTAAAGTAACGCAGCGCTGTATCGCAAAAAATGGCCTGGTCAGGAAGGCGGGATAAATTTAAAATTTTTACACTGTCACTTGAAATTTTTTTTTCCACTTTCATTGCTGTTACAAGGAATGTAAACATCCCCGTGACAGGTATTTCTATGGAGGGATCTGAGGTCCCTAATCCCCCCTCTGCACTTGAAAGCATCATAACACCAAGATCGGGGTTTCTGCTTTCAGATAGTTAAAATTGGCTCAGAAAGTTTCCGAGTAAAACGAAAGCGACGTCAAGTCATTGCTTCCTGTTTACAATAAAGGAAAGACGATCAAAGCCGATTCTGGATTTGTTCTGCTGTCTGGCAGACATGCCGGCTGGTCGCTCAGGACTCCCGGTGGGACAGGTGGGTTGGGGGGGGACATCCCCTCCCGCTGCTTGTAGAAGCGATCAATCATCCAGTAGCTGCTCCAATTGCTCGTACAAGACAGCTGGCTGCCGGCTCTACACCTATGCAGCCGTGAGGGCCACGTTTTGCTCGGGCACGGGAGCCCGTTCATTTGAATGGACTCTTGTGCCCCGTGACACGCAGGAAGAAGTCCCGGCACTTATTTGGAAAACGCAGCCGAGGTTCCCAGTACGGTTGCGTTTTCCAGTGCGGACGGCGTGCCATTAGAACTAATGACACCCGCCCGTGGGTCCGCATTCCTCCGTGCGGGTGGTGCGGCTGCATGGATTTTCATGCGGATCCGCAGCGGCACCACCCACACAGATGAGAACCTAGAGTAAAAAATGGTTCCGGGGTGACGCCTGCAGCCGCAGGTACCACTCCAATACAAATTCAGAAAGCCCAGCAATGTATGGAGTATGTCGCTGGTCCAGAAAATTGTTATAGCCATAGTATTTTTATTTGCTATATGTTTCAGATGAAAACGCAGTTATTCTTTAACCACCTCCTGCCCGCCATATAGTAATATGATGGGCGCAAGGCGGTTCTCTCGTTCTGGGAGGACGTCATATAACGTTCTCCCATTCTCACTGCACATGCAGAGCGGCGATCGGCGGTGTGCTGTGTCCCTCGGACACAGCGGATCATCGATCACGGAAAGAGCTGAAGATGTCGGCTCGGTCATGTGATCAGCTGTGTCCAATCACAGCTGATCACGTGTAAACAGGAAAATGCTGGTTATCAGCATTTCTCTCCTATCGAGCTGTCACTCTGACAGAGGAGAGGAGAGCCGGTAATCAGCTTTTCGCGGAGGGGACATGTACACTGATCATCAGGGCACTGATGATCAGTGTGCCCTGATGATCAGTGCAGCCCCAGCAGTGCCACATGTCAGTGTCCATCAGTGCCATGTGTCAGTGCTCATCAGTGCCTCAAGCCAGTGCCCATCAGTGCCACATATCAGTGCACATCAATGCCACATATCAGTGCCCATCTGAGCTGCCTTTCAGTGTCACCCATCATCAGTCAGTGCCAGTCAGTGCCGCCTATCAAATGCGCATCAGTGCCGCCTATCAATGCGCATAATGCGCATCAGTGCCGCCTATCAATGCGCCTATCAGTGCCGCCTATCAATGCGCATCAGTGCCGCCTATCAATGTGCAAGTCAGTGCCGCCTAACAGTGCAAGTCAGTGCCGCCTAACAGTGCAAGTCAGTGCCGCCTAACAGTGCCATATATCATGTGCCATGTATCAGTGCTGCCTTTCAGTGCCCATCAGTGATGCCTGTCAATGCCGATCAGTGCCACCTACCAGTGCCTCATCAGTGCCACCTATCAGTGCCCATCACTGCAGCCTCATTAGCGCACATCAGTGAAGAGAGAAAAATCACTTAACAAAATTTTATAACAAAAATTAAGAAAAAACATTTTTTTTTTTCTAAATTTTCAGTGGTTTTGGTTTAAAGAAAAAATAAAAAAAACCCCGAGGTGATTATATACCACCAAAAATAAGCTCTGTTACAAAAAAAAATGATAAAAATTTCATATGGGTACAGTGTTGCATGACGGCGCAATTGTCATTCAAAGTGTGACAGCGCTGAAAGCTGGAAATTGGCCTGTGCAGGAAGGGGGTGACAGTGCCCGGTAGGCGAGGGGTTAATCATCCATTTCATTTTGAGCTGTTTAATAGTTCAGTGCATATTACTGCAAACCAATACATCTGTTATCGGGTAAAATGATTCGCTGCAGAGACAATAAGGATGAAACGGTCATGTCGATTTTTAACCCCTCGCCTACCGGGGCACTTATACCCCCTTCCTTACCAGGCCAATTTTTCAGCTTTCAGCACTGCCGCACTTTGATTGACAATTGCGCGGTCATGCAACATTGTACCCATATGAAATTTTGATCATTTTTTTCTCACAAATAGAGCTTTCTTTTGGTGGTATTTAATTGCCACTGGGCGCTTTACTTTTTGCGCTATAAATTAAAAAAGTGCAAAAAAATTTGAAAAAAAAAAAAAAAATGTTTCTTTGTTTCTATTATAAAATTTTTCAAACAGGTATTTTTTCTCCTTCACTGATGTGCGTTGATGAGGCAGCACTGATGGGCACTGATAGGCGGCACTGATGGGCACTGATAGGCAGCACTAAAGGGCACTGATAGGCAGTACTAATGAGGTGGCACGGATAGGCGGCACTGATAGGCAGCACTAATGAGGTGTCATGGATAGGCGGCACTAATATGCAGCACTGATAGGCGGCACTGATAGGTGACACTGATGATGGGTACTGATAGATGGCACTGACTGGCATCACTGCTGGGCACTGACTGGCGGCACTGACTGGCACAACCACTGGGCACTGACTGGTGGCACTGACTGGCAGCACTGCTGGGCTGCACTGGTGGGTGGCACTGGTGGGCACAGGTGGTGGCACTGCTGGGCACAGGTGGGTGGCACTGCTGGGCACAGGTGGGTGGCACTTCTGGGCACAGGTGTGTGACACTGCAGAGTGGCACAGGTGGGGTGCACTGCTGGGCACAGGTGGGCGGAGCTAGTGGGTGCACTGCTGGGCACAGGTGGGCGGAACTTGTGGGTGGCACTGCTGGGCACCGATCATCAGGGCACTGATCATCAGTGGCCCTGATGATCGGTGCCGATCCTCGCTCTGACAACTGCCGGTTCTCGGCAGTACTTTCCTCACGATCTGACAGCGTGAGGAAAGTGCAGCCGAGAACCGGCACTTGCATTTCCCTGTGATCAGCGTGTCATTGGACACCGCTGATCACGTGGTAAAAGGCCGGTATGATTGGCCTTTTACCACATCTCGTGATCAGCTGTGTCCGTAGGACACAGCGATCACGGAGATCGCCGGGTGCGCGCCCCCTGGGGCGCGCAGGAGAGCGCGTTCTGGGGGGACGTCATATGACGTCCACCCAGAACTGGCCGGCTGCAGTGAAGCCGTCATTCGGCTATCTGCGGTCGGCAACTAGTTAAAGGAGCATCCCTCAGAGCTGACTTTTTCATTTGGATCTGGAATTCAGCAAAATATTTAAAACAAAAAGTTTATTCCAAACATAAAAGGAGTACCAGAGCTAACATGCTTTGGGGGTCGGACGTCGCCCCTTGCTGAGAAAATAGATGCAATGAATGAAGATTAGGCGTTATTGGGAATATTGTAACACAGCAGTGTTCTGTAGCTGGTTTTCAACAGCTGTGTCTTAGATTTCCCAATAACCCATCCCAAAAAAAAAAAACAAAAAACAACATTTTGCCTATAGTTACACTTTAACAGCTTCCTGACCACCCTATAGCAGACATACTGCTACATGGTGGCACGGGTGTGCAGAATCACATATGTATATATACAGGTGAAACTCGAAAAATTAGAATATGGTGCAAAAGTTGATTTATTTCAGTGCAGCAACTTAAAAGGTGAAACTAATATATGAGACTCATTACATGCAAAGCAAGATAGTTCAAGCCGTGATTTGTCATCATTGTGATGATTATGGCTTACAGCTCATGAAAACCCCAAATCCACAATCTCAGAAAATGAGAATATTGTGAAAAGGTGGAATATTCTCGGCTCAAAGTGTCCCACTCTAATCAGATCATTCAGCCATAACACCTGCAAAGGGTTCCTGAGCCTTTAAATGGTCTCTCAGTCTGGTTCAGTAGGAATCACAATCATGGGAAAGACTGCTGACCTGACACCATCACTGACACCCTCCATAAGGAGGGAAACGAGTCTCATATATTAGTTACACCTTTTAAGTTGCATTACTGAAATAAATTAACTTTTGCACGATGTTCTAATTTTTTGAGTTTCACCTGTATATGTATAATATATATATATATATATATATACACACACACACACACATTATATATATATATATATATAGAGACACACATGTTATTTTGCATTTCCGGATAGGGGTGCCTGCGAGCCCTACCCGGCTGCTAAATTACCTGGTGATTACCGAGCATCTCCAACGAGAAGGTAGACTGTTTGTATACAAACAATCTTTCTACCTGTCAGCTTGAGCACACTGCACAGCACAGCCATCCCGATCAGTGTGCTTACAGTGAAGAACACACCCCCCCCCCCGCCCACCAGTAACACACTGTCATACCACAGTGCCATTATTAGTACTGTGTCAGTGCTTTTTTTTTTTTTAGCTCTGATCACTGTATCGGTGTCATTAGGGATGTCATTGATGCCAAGTTAGTTCCCCCCCCCCCCCAGTGTCAGAATGTTCGCCACAGTCCTGCTAAAAGTCACTGAAAAAAAAAATCCCATTATCTATACCGCCATAGCTTTCACGTAAACCAATTAATTTACATGTATTGGGATTTTTTTTTTTAGCAAAGACATTGAGCAAAATACATTTTGGCTGAAATTTATGACGAATTTGATTTTTTACTGGAAATATTTAATAGCAAAAAGTCAAAATTATTGTTTTTTTTTTTTCTCAAAATTGTCAGCCTTTTTTTTTTTTTTTTATAGCGCAAAAAATAAACGCATATCAAATACCACCGAAGAAAGCTCAATTTGTGGGGAAAAAAGGACGTAAATTTCATTTGGGTGCAGCGTTGCATGACTGCGCAATTGTCAGGTAAAGCAACACAGTGCTGTAATGCAAAAAATGTCCTGGTCAGGAAGGGGGGGGGGGGGGGGGGGATCCTCTGGAGGGTGAGGGGTTAAAGCGGAACTCAATATAATTTTTTTTATTTTCTCATGCACTGGGGCTGCACCCGCACTGTATGGGAAAGCTGCTTGTTTTGTCCAGGAGTTTAAGGCAGAGCTAGACTTACTCATTCCTCTGATTGTTTGGAAAACCGCACTCCCCCATGTCCAGCGGTGGAATGTTCCTGCCATCCTCATGTCCGGGATCCAGTGTATGGGCGCGATGACGTCAGAGAGTCGATTCACAAGACCGCTAGCGTGCAGGGGGGGGCAGAAGCGGCAGGGACTGGTCTTGTGCTCTGAGGATTGGTGGATTCGGTAAGTATACCGTCACTGTTATCATCCCTAGACAAAAACGAACAGTTAGCCTATGCAGTGTGAGCACAGCCCCACTACAGGGGACAAAAACATTTTTGCCCGGAATTCTGCTCTCCAAGTGAGAAATCAGTGGAAATCTCTGGGTCGGCGGACATGTTTGGTCACAGTGTTAGAATCCGTATAGACAGTAACTTACCACTTGAGGTTGCTCTTCATGGAGATCCTGACCTTCTCCAGCGCTGATTATAGACTGAAGAGTCAGCTCCTCCACCTGAAATATACATGGGGGGGGGGGGGGGTCATTACACTCTCCGATACATATCAGGTCATTATATACAGATAAAAAGAACTATACAATGATACAAATCATACAGACAGTAAGAATGGTGTACTAACAATAGGAGAATGCTACCAGAAACTGGGAGATGGTAAAACATAAAAGGTGGTCAGTGGGTGGTAATAATGGTGCAGCAGATGGAGATGACGACAGGAGAGAAAAATTGCATCCATTATCCCGATTGGATATCCGAACAACTCCGGCAGAATCCTTATCTTTCATTCATATGGGTATAAATATAACACGGGATAGTGTGACACAATATACGGGGGTTGGACAAAAATATGGAAAAACTACATCATTTGCTGGTGTGAAAGCGACATGTTTTGTGTTGGAAGCGGAAGTTAATTAACCTTCTTTTGATTCCACTGTGTGATGAGGAAGAGAGGGGGGGGAGAGAGGGGGGGAGGGAGAGGGAGAGGGAGAGAGGGGGAGAGGGGGGGGTGAGGGGGGAGGGAGAGGGGGAGAGAGAGAGAGGGGGGAGGGAGAGAGAGAGGGGGGAGGAAGGGAGAGAGAGGGGGGGAGAGGGAGGAGAGAGAGAGATGGGGGAGAGGGCCGGGAGAGAGAGAGGGGGAGGGAGGGAGAATAGAGGGGGGAGGGAGGGAGGGAGGGAGAGAGGGGGGGGAGGGAGGGAGGAGAGGCGAGGGGGAGGGAGGGAGGAGAGAGGGGAGGGAAGGGAATGGAGGAGGGGGGGGGGTGAGAGAGAGAGGGGGGAGGGGGGGGAGGGTAGGGGGAGGGAGAGGGGAGAAGGGAGGAAAGGGAGGGAGAGAGAGGGGGGAGGGAGGGAGAGGGGGGGAGGGAGGGAGAGGGAGGAATGTGGGGAGGGAGGAGAGGGAAGTGAAGGGAGGGAGGGAGGGAGAGAGAGGGGGGGGAGAGGGGGGGGAGGGAGGGAGGGGGGAGGGAAGGGAGGGGGGGGGGGAGGGGGGGGGGGGGGGAGAGGGGGGGGGGTTGGAGAGAGGGGGAGGAGGGGGGGGGGAGGCGGGGAGGGGGGGGGGGGTGAGAGGGGGGGGAGAGAGAGGGGAGGGGAGAGGAGGGGGGGGGGGAGGGGGAGGGGGAGAGGGGGGGGGGAGGGGAGGGGAGGGGAGGGGGAGGGAGGGGGGGGGGAGGGGGAGGGGGAGGGGGAGGGAGGGGGGGGGGGGGGAGGGTAGGGGGGGGGGGGGGGGAGGGTAGAGGGAGGGGGGGGGGGGGGAGGGGGAGGGAGGGGGGGGGAGGGGGAGGGGGGGGGGGTGGATGAGAAGGAGGGAGGGGGGGGAGAGGGGAGGGGGGGGGGGGGGGGAAGGGGAGGAGGGGGGGGGGAGGGGGAGGGGGGAGGGGGGGGGGGGGGGAGGGGGGGAGGGGGAGAGGGGGGGGGGGGGGGGGGAGGGGGGAGGGGGGAGGGGGGGGGGTTGAGGGGGAGGGGGGAGAGGGGGGAGGGAGGGGGGGGGGGGGGGGGGGGGGGGGGAGGGGGGGAGTAGGGGGGGGGACGGGGGGAGGAGGGGGGGGGGGGGATGAGAGGAGGGAGGTTGGGTGGGGGGGGGGGGAGGGGGGGGGGGAAATGGGGTGGGACGAAGGGGGGAGGGAGAGGGGGGGGAAGGGGGGAGGGGGGGGGGGCTGGGGGGAGGGGGAGGGTGGGGGGGGAGGGAGGGGGGGGGGGTTAGGGAGGGGGGGGGGGGAGGGTGGGAGGAGGGGGGGGGGGGGGGGGGAGGGGAGGGGGGGAGGGGGGGGGGAGGGGGGGGAGGGGGGGGGAGGGGGGGAGAGGGGGGGGAGGGAGGGGGGGGGGGGGAAGGGGGGGGGGGAGGGGAGGGAGGGGGGGGGGGGGAGGGAGGAGGGGGGGGGAGGGGGGGGGGGGGGGGAGGGGGGAGGGGGGGAGAGGGGAAGAGAGGGGAGGGGGGGGGAGGGGGAGGGGGGGGGGGAGAGAGAGGGGGGGGGTGGGGGGGGGGGAGGGAGGAGGGGGGTGGGGGGGGGGGGAGGGGGGAACGAGAGGGGGGGGGGGGGGGATGGGGAGGGGGGGAGGGGGGGGGGGGGGGGGGGGGGGGGGGGAGGGGGGGGGGGGGGGGGGGGGGGGAGGGGGGGGCGGGGAGGGAGGGGGAGGGAGGGGGGGAGAGAGGGGGGGGGGGAGAGAGGGGGGGGGGGAGGAGGGGAGGGGGGAAGGGGGAGGGGGTGGGTGAGGGGAGGGGGAGGAGAGAGTAGGGGGGGGGGGGGGGGGGTGGAGGAGGGGGGGAGGGAGGGGGGGGGGGGGAGGGGGGGAGGGGAGGGGGGGAGGGAGGGGGAGAGGGAGAGAGGGGGGGGAAGGAGAGAGGGGGGAGGAGAGAGAGGGAGGGAGGGGGGGAGGGGGAGGGAGAGGGAGGGAGGAGGAGAGAGGGGGGAGGGAGAGGGGGGGGGGAGGGGGAGAGGGGGAGGGACGAGGGGGAGGGAGGGGGGGAGGGGGGGGGGGGGGGAGGGGAGAGGGGGGGAGGGGTGGGGGAGGGAGGGGGAGGGGGAGGGGGGGGGGAGGGGAAAGGGGAGAGGGGGGGGAGGAAGAGAGAGGAGGGGGGGGGGAGGGGGGGGGGGGGGAGAAAGGGGGGGGGGGGGGGGAGGGAGGGGGGAGGGATATGGGGGAGGAGAGGGAGGGAGGGGAGAGAGGGGGGAGGGAAGAGAGGGGGGGGGAGGTGGGGGGGGTGAGGGGGGGAGGGGAAGGGGGGGGGAGGGGGGGGGGGGAGAGGGGGGGGAGGGAGAGGGGAGAGGGGGGGGGGGGAGGGGGGGGGGGAGGAGGGGGGGGGGGGGGGGGGGGTGGGGGGGGGAGAGAGGGGGAGGGTGGGTTGGGAGGAGGAGGGGGGAGGGGGAGAGAGGTGGAGGGGGGAGAGGGATTGGGGGGAGAGAGAGGGGAGGGGAGGGGGGGAAGGGGAGTGGGGGGAGGGGAGGGGGAGGGGGGGGGAGGGGGGAGGGGGGGGGGGGCGGGAAGGGGAGGAGGGGAGTTCTGAGGGGGGGGGAGGGGGGGGGGGTGGGGGAAGGGGGGGAGGGGGGGTGGGGAGGAGGAGGGGGGGGGGTAGGGAGGAAGGGGGGGGAGGGGGGGTGGGGGAGGGGGAGGGAGGGGGGAGGGGGGGGGGGGGGGAAGGAGGTGGGGGAGGGGGGGGGGGAGGGAGGGAGGGGGGGGGGGGGGAGAGAGGGGGGAAGGGGGAGGGGGCCGGGGGAGGGGGGGGGGGGTGAGGAGAGGGGAGAGGGGAGGGGGGGGGAGAGGGAAGGGGGGGGGGGGAGAGAGATTAGGGGGGGAGGGGGGGAGAGGGGGGGGGGAGGGGGAGAGGGACGGGGGGGGGGGGGGGAGGGGGAGGGGGGGAATTGGAAGGGGGGAGGAGGGTGGGGGGGGGGGGGGGGGAACATTCTTTATTATCTTCGGGGGGGTTTCCACAACGTTGTTTTTTAAAATATAAAGATGTTCGCTCGCATTGCTACCCCCCCAACCTTTCACACACGTCTGCGCTTTAAACCTGCGCATCGCCCCATTGAATGGCCGGCAAACTGCTGGTACTTAAAAATCTCCATAGGCACACGCTTTCTAAGCCTTTACAGGTTACCAAAGCTTGGAGTTTGCACAGAGAGGTCTGGCGCTACAATTGCTGCCAGCTCTGACATTTGCGGCGATACCTGACATGTGGTGCATAATGCACTGTTTACGTATGCGTGTAGGACCTACATACGTGGTTTTTTCGCATTTACTGCATTAACACTGAAAGGCAGAAGGACTTTTCTTAATTTTATTTACATTTTTTTTTTTTTTTTTTTTTTTTATTTTTGCAATGTATCTTTAATTTTCTTTTTGGACTAACTTTATTGCTATCTAGGAGGGGGATGAACAACAACCCATGTGACAGCATGAGCCATGACAGGTCCTCTTTATGGAGACATCTCAGACTCCAAATCTCTCTCTACGGCCTCCAAAGCATCTGATCACAACGAGAACCTGGCAGGAGAAAAGCTGCTTAACCCCTCGCCTGCCGGGCACTTTCCCCCCCTTCCCCCAGGACCCCCCGCCAATTTCCAGCTTTCAACGCGTGTCGCACTTTGAATGACAATTGCGCGCGGTCATGCAACACTGTACCCATATGAAATTTTTAGAATTTTTTGGAGAAAGATAAAACTTTAATTTTGGTGGTATTTGATCACCTCGGGTTTTTTTTTTTATTTTTTGCTAAAACAAACCAAAAACAACTGAAAATTGTTAAAAAAAAAAGTTTTTTCTTAGTTTCTGTTATAAAATTTTGTAAATAAGTGATTTTTCTCCTTCACTGATTGTGCGCTAATGAGGCTGCAGTGATGGGCACTGATAGGTGGCACTACTGATTATGGCACTGATGATAGGCAGCATGACTGGCACTGATATGGTGGCACTGATAGGCAGCATTGACTGACATCTGATAGGTGGCACTGATTGGTGGCACTGACTGGCACTGATAGGCAGCATTGGACTGGCACTGATAGGCCCAGCATTGACTGGCACTGATTGGCAGCATGACTGACACTGATAGGTGGCACTGATGGCAGCACTGACTGACCTGATGGTGGCACTGACTGGCATTGATTGGCAGCACTGACTGGAACTGATTGGTGGCACTGACTGCACTGATAGGCAGCATGACTGGCACTGATAGGTGGCACTGAATGATTGAGGGCAGCACTGACTGGCACACTGATAGGTCGCACTGATTGGTGGCACTGACTGGCACTGATAGGTGGCACTGATTGGTGGCACTGACTGGCATTGATTGGCAGCACTGACTGGCACTGATAGGTGGCACTGATAGGTGGCACTGACTGGCACTGATTAGGCAGCATTGACTGGCACATGATAGGTGGCACTGATTGCAGCATGACTGACACTGATAGGTCGCACAGATTGTGGCACTGACTGGCATTGATTGGTATCAGCACTGCGACTGGCACTGAAAGATAGCTCAGATGGGCACTGATATGTGTCATTGATGTGCACTGGAAGCGTGGTGATGTCACTAGACAAATATAGCAATGGCCATGTTTGTGTAAGGACAGAATTATCTCTGCTGACAGTGGAATGTAAACAAGGTGGTAGTACAGGGTAATTAATGAAATCTGATGGCTGGCTTAAACAAATGGAGGGGGTGATGAATGTAATCTGATGGCAGACATCTGAATGTAAACAAAGGGGGGGGGGGTAGTACTGTGCAATGGGCGCAAACTGGTTGTTGGCTGGATGTAAACAAGGGGGGTTGTACTGAGTAATGAATTAAATCTGATGGCAGCTGTATGTAAAACAAAGGGGGGGAAGCTGGTGGCATCACTAGCCAAATATGGCAATGCCCATACTCTCTCTGCTGACAGTGGAATGTAAACAAAGGGGGGGGGGTCGGGGCTGGGTAATTAATGTAAACAGACGGCAGATATCCTGAATGTAAACAAAGGGGAAGCACTGGCTGATGTCGATCTGATAGCTAGCAGCTGGATGTAAACAACGGGGATCGGGGGGGGGGGGGGGTAAAACTGGTAATGAATAAAATCGGATAACTGAATGTAAAATAAATGGGGTGTAGAGAAGCTGGTGATGTCACTAGCCAAATAGGACAATGGCCATGTTTTGGTAATGATAGTACTCTCTCTGCTGACAGTGGAATGCAAACAAAAGAGAGGGGGGTGCATCTGGGTAATGAATGAAACCCGATGGCTGGATTAAAAAAAAGTGGGGGGAGTACTGGCTAATGAATGCATTTTGATTGCCATCATCAGAATGTAAACCAAAGTGTGTAGTAACTGGGTAATAAATGTAATCGGCTGGTGGCTGGCATGTAAACAAGGTGGGAAGTACTGGGAAATGAATGTAATCTGATTGCCAACATCAGAATGTAAACAAAGGGATAGTACTGGGTAATTAATGTAATTGGCTGGATGTAAACAAGGGGGAAGTACTGGTAATCATATGAGTACTGGGTATCATTGAAATGTGAGGGCTATATGTAAACGAAGGGGTTAGTAGTGAGTAAATGGGAATGTAATCGGTTGCTTGTGGCTGGATGTAAACAAGGGGTAGGACTGGGTAATGAATGCATATCGGTTGGTGTGTGCTGGATGTAAAGGGGGGGTACTGGGTGATTAATGTAAATCTGATGGCTGGCAAGTTGTAAACAGACAGGGTTGTAAACAAGGGGGGTGGGGGGGGGGTGGTACTAGCAAATAAAATATCTGATGACATGTGCTGATTGTAAACAAATTGAGGAGGGAGCTGGGTAACAGATGTAATCCGAACATTTGCTGCTGAATGCAAACAAAGGGGTTGTCCTTAGATCACGGGTGCAATCTGACAGCTGGTAGCTAAATGTAAACAATGGTGTCCATGGTGACGTCATTACCCAAAAAATGGCAATGACCATATATGGGTAATGACAGACAACTCCCAGCCAGCAGATGAATGGCAGCGGGGATCTGTTATTGGCAGCATCTGCTCCACCCACCGACCTCCTGGGATACGTGATTGGTGGATCTGAAGAGGGATTGTACAATCAGATTGTATGATGTATGGCAGATTCGCCCATTCCTAGTAGATGGATTAGATCGTAAAGGATCATTCGGTACCCCTCCCCCCAGCTCTCCTCTACCCTCCCGCAGTCGCCCTCCGACCTTCAACCTGTTGAGCTGGTCATTCAGGGCCGCCTTGATCTTCAGCAGAGTCTCCTCCTCCTTCTTCAGCTCCTGCAGACGGCTCAGCATCGTGCTGTGTGCCCGGATCACCGCGCGGCCGCCTCATCACCGCCGACCCCTCCGCTCCTCACGATCCGCTGTCACGACTATCCTCGCGTCATCTCCCAGCGCCCAGTCGCGTAAGTGCAACGCCACGCGCCTCGGGCCGCCATGTTTAGTGAGGGCGGCTGGATTCCTGTGCGTCATGTGGGGGGGAGGGCTGGTTGACTGTGCGGAGCGGGGAGAGCGCCACCTGCTGGCTTGAAGCGTGAAACGCCGCGCTGAGATTTACCTCAGATTCACCCCTCCCCCCACAGATATCACTTCATATCACCGAAATGTCCCTTCCCCTCCTCAGTGCTCAGCTCACACAAGCATTGAATTTTAATACCGCCATTAATGCGTTACACAGGCGCTGCGCACACGTTCAAGATGCGTCAATCAACGCTCCTCACGCGCCTTCTGTCCTTTTTTTTTTTTTCATCCTGAGCGCTAGGGACGGGCGGACTGACAACTCATGGGGGCCCTCGGGCAATAGGGGATCATGGGGCCCCTGTGTCCTTGCCCAAACTCAAAAAAGCCTATGAAAATGGTACCAGGGGCATCTCATGGGGCCCCTACTGGCCCCGGGCCCTCGTGCAGTGCCCGAGTTTCCGAATGGTCAGTCCGCCCCTGGCTAGGGATCATTCACATCTACCCCCTGCCATTGCCGCCTCTCTGAAAAGTTCAAAATTCTGTACCCCTTCGTTCCTAATCCTGTGTATCGCCCCCTTTAGCATCAATAACAGCGTGCTGTCTTCTGTGATTGTTGTCTATGAGGCCCCCGAATTCCTGCCGGTGGTTAGAGCCGCCCATTCGTCTCGGCAAAATGCCTCCAGGTCATGCCAAGTCATTGGTCGTTCTTGCAGGAACCGCACGTTTGAGATCTCCCCAGAGATGATATTAAGGTCAAGAGACCGAGACTCCAGAACCTTCACCTTTTTCTGCTGTGACCACTGGAGGGTCAGCTTGGCCTTGTGCTCGGGGTCATTGTCCTGTCCTTGCACGTACCTCACGTTTGAGACCTCCCCAGAGCGGTTTGATGATATTAAGGTCAGGAGGCTGTGGTGGCCACTCCAGGACCTTCACCTTTTTCTGCTGTGACCACTGGAGGGTCAGCTTGGCCTTGTGCTGAGGGTCATTGTCCTGTCCTTGTACGAACCTCACGTTTGAGATCTCCCCAGAGCGGCTCGATGATATTAAGGTCAGGAGACTCTGATGGTCACTCCAGAACCTTCACCTTTTTCTGCTGTGACCACTGGAGGGTCAGCTTGGCCTTGTGCTTGGGGGTCATTGTCCTGTCTTGTACGAACCTCACGTTTGAGATCTCCCCAGAGCGGCTCGGTGATATTAAGGACAGGAGACTGTGGTGGCCACTCCAGAACCTTCACCTTTTTCTGCTGTGACCACTGGAGGGTCATCTTGGCCTTGTGCTTGGGGTCATTGTCTGTCCTTGCACGAACCTCACGTTTGAGATCTCCCCAGAGCGGCTCGGTGATATTAAGGACAGGAGACTGTGGTGGCCACTCCAGAACCTTCACCTTTTTCTGCTGTGACCACTGGAGGGTCATCTTGGCCTTGTGCTTGGGGTCATTGTCCTATCCTTGCATGAACCGCACATTTGAGATCTCCCCAGAGCGGCTCAATGATATTAAGGTCAGGAGACGGTGATGGATGTGGTGGCCACTCCAGAACCTTCACCTTTTTCTGCTGTAACCACTGGAGGGTCAGCTTGGCCTTGTGCTGAGGGTCATTGTCCTGCTAGAAAGTCCAAGAGCGTCCATGCACAGCTTTCGTGCCGAAGAATGCAAATTGTCTGCCAGTATTTTCTGATAACATGCTGCATTCATCTTGCCATCGATTTTCACAAGTTTCCCTGTGCCTTTAGAGCTCACACATCAGTGAGCCACCATGCTTCACAGTTGGGATGGTATTCTTGTGGCTATAGCCCTCATTGACTTCTATCCAAACAAAAATGCTTATGGTTGTGACCATAAAGCTCGATTTTGGTCTCGTCACTCCAGATTACAGTGTGCCAGAAGCTGTGAGGCATGTCAAGGCGTTGTCGGGCTTATTGCAACCGGGCTTTTTTGTTCCATTGGCACATAAGTAAAGGCTTCTTTCTGGCAACTCAACCATGAAGCTAATTTTTGTTCAAGTATTGTGCTCCTTGAAACAACGACGCCGTCTTTTTCCAGAGCAGCCTGTATTTCTCCTGAGGTTACCTGTAGGGGATTTGTATCTTTGTATCCCAAACAATTCTTCTGGCAGCTTGTGGCTGCAATCTTTCTTGGTCTACCTGACCTTGACTTGGTATCAAGAGATCCCGAATGTTCCATTTCTTAATAAGCGATTGAACAGTACTGACCGGCATATTCAAGGCTTTGGATATCTTTGTATATCCTTTTTCCATCTTTATAAAGTTCCATTACCTTGTTATACAGGTCTTTTGACAGTTCTTTTCTGCTCCCCATGGCTCAGTATCTAGCCTGCTCAGTGCATCCAAACTAACAAACTCATTGACTATTTATACACAGACACTAATTGCAATTTAAAAAGCCACAGATGGGGGACATTAACCATTAATTTTACCCCATGTGTGTGTCTGTACCAAGGCTGAACATTCCCAGGGATGGAAACTTGTGGTCAGGGCCATTTGGGGGGATTTCTAATGTAGCACCCTCCTTGTCAGAGTCCTGATTGTCAGTGAGGAAGGCTGAGTAGCAGCCTGGGTGTGATAGCCAGAGGGTCAAATTGTGGACAGGAGTTGAGAGGCTCTGCAGGCCGGATCCTCCGGAATGTTCCCCTGCTCTAGGGCTTTCGGTGAAGACCCTAGAGGCAGTGGGTGGATCCGAGGAGTGGCTGGCTTGCACTCTTGAGGGACCCTAGCCAATTTCCAACAGAAGGCTTGGGAGGGGCTGGGACACCCTTAAAAGTGTGGAGCTGAAGGCAGGAGGCTTCGGAGGCCCAGTGGGATTGGGCCTACCTGCAGCTCCTACTGGAGCTGGAAAAGGAGAAGCTCAGAGTTTCACCGGCTCCCAGAGCGAGGACCACCTGTATTGCAGGGAAGGAGCGGCCCTGCTAAAAGGCCTGGTAGCAGCCACCAAGCCACAAGCAGTACAGGAGGTGCAAACATTGAGCACAATTGTATGTACCTCCCAGTGCGCTGCCTTTGCAGCTTAAGGGGAAGCAGTTTTTTGGGGAGGCGCGACCAATCCCCCCCCCCCCCCAATCGCAAGGCCTTAGGGTTTTTTCAAATGGGCGCTTGAGGTATAAACAGGTGGCTGAGTCGCCATTTTGCCCCTCTCTGGACTGCCCCTCTCAACTAGAGCAAGCAGCCATTTCAGAGCTTTATGCATGCCATGGGTGCGATGCTTTGTTTTTTCGGCTGCAGAAAATTCAACGGTGTATTGCTTTCATCAGGCAGAACTGCTGCCAAACACGGGCCATTCGCGTGCGAACAAGAACGGACCGCAACCATATGGATTGCATGGTGGTTCAGGATTTTTGATGGTCAAAGCAGACGGTGGGGAGTTAATACTCATCTGCTTACCACCTGTCAAACACCTCTGAAATGCAATCCACTGCAGATTGCTTTTCAGAGGGCTGAAGTATAGCAACACTTATTTGAACGAGCCCTTAAAAAGCGTAACCGACGTTCCGCTGTAAGAAACCGCGAGCAGGCAGGCAGAAGAGACACACACAGTACAAATGTATGGTGCCATGTAGACACGCAATGTCTCTTCTCCAATCAAATGCCCCTACCTGCCTGCTCGCTGTCTTCTCCCAATTTAGCTATGCATGTGCAGCTCAGTACAGCACCAGGCCGGTCTCTGTGTGCCTGAATGATGTGTGCCAGCCAACGAAGACTGGAGACAGCACCAGCAAGGGTCCAGACCATTGGAGGAAAGGTGAGATTCGTCTCCCTTTAGTTCCGATCTTCTGATGGTTCTGCCAACCAAGAACCTACATTCCACACTGAGAATACACCCATGGCCTCATTCACATGGAGATACGCCATATTGCCAAAAGTATTGAGCCGTCTGCCTTTCCACGCACATGAACTTTAATGGCCCCCCAGTCTTAGTCCGTAGGGTTCAATATTGAGTAGGCCCCTCCCTTTGCAGCTATAACAGCTTCAACTCTTCTGGGAAGGCCGTCCACAAGGTTTAGGAGGGTGTCTATGGGAAGGTTGGACCATTCTTCCAGAAGCAAATTTGTCAGGTCAAGCACTGATGTCGGGGGAGGAGGCCTGGCTCGCAGTCTCCGCTCTAATTCATCCCAAAGGTGTTTCTGGGGTTGAGGTCAGGACTCTGTGCAGGTCAGTCAAGTTCCTCCACCCAAACTGGCTCCTCCATGTCTTTATGGACCTTGCTTTGTGCACTGGTGCGCAGTCATGTTGAAACAGGAAGGGGCAGCCATCCCCAAACTCTTCCCACAAAGTTGGAAGCATGAAATTGTCCAAAATGTTTTGGTATGCTGACACCTTAAGAGTTCCCTTCACTGGAACTAGGGGGCCAAGCCCAAAAACCCCTGAAAAACAACCCTACACCATAATCCCCCCCTCCACCAAACTTTACACTTGGCACAATGCATTCAGGCAAGTACCGTTCTCCTGGAAACCGCCAAAACCAGACATGCCCATCAGACTGCCAGACAGAGAAGCGTGATTGGTCCCTCCAGAGAAAACGTCTCCACTGCTCTAGAGTCCAGTGGCGGCGTGCTTTACACCACTGCATCCGACGCTTTGCATTGCACTTGGTGATGTAAGGCTTGGAATGCAGCTGCTCGGCCATGGAAACCCATTCCATGAAGCTCTCTACGCACTGTTGTTGGGCTCATCTGAAGGCCACACCAAGCTTAGAGGTCTTTAGCTATTGACTCTGCAGACAGTTGGCGACTTCTGCGCACTGTGCGCTTCAGCATGCGCTGACCCCGCCCTGTCATGTGACGTGGCCTACCACTTGGTGGCTGAGTGGCTGTTGTTCCCAGTTGCTTCCACTTTGTTATAATCCCACTAACAGTTGAGCGTGGAATATTTAGTAGCCAGGAAATGTCACGGATGGACTTATTGCCCAGGTGGCCACCTATCACGGGACCCACACGCTTGGAGTCACTGAGCTCCTGAGAGCGACCCATTTCTTTCACCAATGTTTGTAGAAGCAGTCTGCATGCCTAGGGGCTTGATTGTATACACCTGTGCCCATGGAGGGGATTGGAACATCTGAATCCAATGCTTTGGAGGGCGGGGACAATACTTTTGCAATACAGTGCCTTGAAAAAGTATTCATACCCCTTGACATTTTCCACATTTTTTCATACTACAACCAAAAACATAAATGTATTTTATTGGGGTTTTTTTATGCAATAGACCATGCCTTGAAATTTCCACTCGCCGGCTTGCCAATGGCGAGTGGAAATTATGGTGGGAGCGAGTGTGTGTCCCCCAAGGCTGTCTTGCTGCACAGGCTCGGAGCTCAGGCCGGATCTGTCACTTGCACTGGGAGCTGTCAGACTGCTCAACAGTTGAGCAAAGTGAGAGCAAAGGAAAGAGTGTGTGCTGTGCCCTCTGCCCCCGTGTGTGTGTGTGTGTGTGTGTGTGTATGTGTACATGTATGTATCTGTGTGTGTGTGTGTGTATGGACATGTATCTGTGTGTGTGTGTCTGTGTGTATGTACATGTGTGTATCTGTACATGTGTCTGCGTGTATGTACATGTATGTGTACATGTGTCTGTGTGCATATGTGCATGTACTTGTGTGTGTGTGTGTACGTACATGTGTATGTATGTACATGTGTCTGTGCATGTGTATTTCTGTGTATGTACATGTGTCTGTGTGTATGTACATGTATGCTGGTCTGTACGTGTCTGTGTGTGTATACATGTGTCTGTGTGTGTGTGTGTGTGTACATGTTTCTGTGTGTGTGTATATGTTTCTGTGCGTGTGTACAGGTGTCTATTTTGTATGTGTATGCATGTACATGTGTCTGTGTGTATGTTCATGTGTGTATCTGTACATGTGTGTGCGTGTATGTACATGTATGTGTACATGTGTCTGTGTGCATGCACATGTGTGTGCGCATGTGCGTACGTACATGTGTCTGTGTGTATGTACATGTGTCTGTGTATGTATGTACATGTGTCTGTGTGTATGTACATGTATGCTGGTCTGTACGTGTGTGTGTGTACATGTCTGTGTGTACAGGTGTCTATGTTTGTGTGTGTGTGTATGTACATGTGTCTGTATGTAAACCTACATGTATGGGTGGTTTGGTCAGGTTCAGGATGATGTGGTTATTATGGGTGGTAGAGGATGGGGCATTTGAGGTACTACTGGGTTGGATAGTAGGTAGGATATGCTTGGTAGAGTTATGGTTTTGTGAGTGAAAGATTATGGGGGGTTATGGTTGTATGCGGTGCATGGTCTAAGTATGATGGAGTGTTTAGGGGGACATTGGAGGCCCTGATGTAATGTGGGGGGACTGGGGGGGGGGGACTCTGGGGACCCTGATGTAATGTGGGGGGACTCTGGGGACCCTGATGTAATGTGGGGGGGACTCTGGGGACCCTGATGTAATGTGGGTAACATTTAACAGTGTCATTTCATGAAATAATTTATGAGGGTGTGTTTATGGGGGTATTAGGGGTGTAGCAGGGTAGGGGTTGGGTGGGGCAACTGGTGGCGAGTAACTCTTAAGGCCTGGCTAGTAGCTCAGGACAACACAAAGTGGCACATAATTGTGAAGTGAAAGGAAAATGATAAATGGTTTTCCAAATTGTTTACAAATAAATATTTGCAAAGTGTGGCGGCATTTGTATTCAGCCCCCCGGAGTCAATACTTTGTAGGACCCCCTTTTGCTGCAATTTCATGAACATGGGGACAAGGTCCTTTGAGGGGGGGGAAGCCCTCCTGCCCCTAAGCACCCCCCCTATATGCTGAGGGCAGGCAGCCTGGTATGATTTGGGGGGGTGCTCTCTCGTTCCCCACCCTTTCCTGACCTGCCAGGCTGCATACTGGGATAAGGGTCTGGCATGGATTCTGGGAGGAACCCTTTTGTCTTGGGGCGTTCCCCTCAAAATCCATACCAGACCTGAAGGGCTTGGTATGTATGGTGGGGGGAACTCCACACCATTTTTTTGCAAATGTTTTAAGTGCCGGCAATTTTTTCTACGTACAGCTGTCAGCGGGGAACCCCACTGACAGCTGAAACATTAAAGAATGTTTCACTACTAAAATACCGCCTGACCTAATAATATGATTCATACGATATTTTAGTAGCTGAGCGGGATCTTACCACGTTCTCGGATGCAGTAAGATACCGCTTTGCGAACTGTTCCGATTCAAAGTTTGCGGTTGGACTTTCTTTAAGTTCGACCGCCAACTGAACAGGGGGGTGTTCGGCCCATCACTAGCACTTAGCATGCACTGTGTTCAAATGAGCCGGAGTGGCTGCTGGGGGTGCACTTCTAATGTCCGGTCCAAGCAGGATGGAGGGTGATCAGCTACTAAAGAGTTTTTTCGGACTTACTTGAATGTAGGATAGGAACAACTTTTTGAATTGCTGAGGAGTGGTGTGTACTGTGCTGGGGATGCTTGAAATCACATTTTTTTTTTGTGGCACACGGTATCAGTCACTCTTCTGGGTCAATGAACAGTCTAGGGAAGGGTCTCTCAATCAGGGTTCCATGGAACCCTGGGGTTCCTCCAGAGGCTGCTAGGGGTTCCTTGAGTAATAAACAATTTTTGCTTCTCAGATAAGTTCCCGCTGACACCATTGATCTTTTTAGCTATTTGTAAGGGGGGGATTCTTCCCAATGACCATAAGTGTAAGGAGCATTCTTCCCAATGAAGACAAATGTAAGGGGGGGTTTCTTCCTAATGACCACAAGTGTGAGGAGCATTCTTCCCAATGACCACTAGTGTGAGGAGCATTCTTCCCAATGACCACAAGTGTGAGGAGCATTCTTCCCATTGACCACAAGTGTAACGAGCATTCTTCCCAATGAACACAAATATAAGGGGGGGGATTCTTCCAATGACCACAAATATAAGGGGGGATTCTTCCCAATGACCACAAATGTAAGGGGGGGATTCTTCCCAATGACCACAAGTGTGAGGAGCAGTCTTCCCAATGAACACAAATGTAAGGGGGGGAATCTTCCCAATGACCACAAGTGTGAGGAGCAGTCTTCCCAATGAACACAAATGTAAGGGGGGGAATCTTCCAATGACCACAAATGTGAGAAGCATTCTTCCCACTGACCACAAGTGTGAGGAGCATTCTTCCCAATGACCACAAGTGTGAGGAGCATTCTTCCCAATGACCACAAGTGTGAGGAGCATTCTTCCCAATGACCACAAGTGTGAGGAGCATTCTTCCCAATGACCACAAGTGTGAGGAGCATTCTTCCCACTGACCACAAGTGTGAGGAGCATTCTTCCCAATGACCACAAGTGTGAGGAGCATTCTTCCCAATGACCACAAGTGTGAGGAGCATTCTTCCCAATGACCACAAGTGTGTGAGGAGCATTCTTCCCAATGACCACAAGTGTGAGGAGCATTCTTCCCAATGACCACAAGTGTGAGGAGCATTCTTCCCAATGACCACAAGTGTGCGGAACATTCTTCCCAATGACTAACACACTAATGTATGATGAGTTGTAGATAGAGTAGATGCAAATTGTATTTATTTATTTATGAAGAAACAGAAAAAAGGCGCACCGACCTAGTGCATTATCGTTTAAAATATTTATTCCTCTGAGGAAGAGGTTGTGTCCTTGAAACGCGTTTGCCAGTTGGTCATCCAGGGTTCCATCGTATGGACTCAGATGTTGTTTGGATCATACATCTTGTTCAGTTTGACATGCCTGTGTTATTATGTCCATTGTAAGTATGATACTTACTTTGTTTCTTCAATAAATATTTTAAACGATAATGCACTAGGTCGGTGCGCCTTTTTTCTGTTTCTCCATTTGCATCTAATGTATTTGGACCACCCCGGTCTGTTGAGGGCAGCAAGCAGTGCATGCATGTTCCAGAAAATTCCAGAACATTTCTATTGGGTCTACTGAGTCCTTTCCTAGCGCAGGAGAAAAGTGTTTGTTGTGTTGGATTTGTAGATAGAGTAAGCAGGGGTTCCCTGGGACCAGAAACTTTTTTTCAAGGGTTCCTCTGGGTTGCAAAGGTTGAGAAAGGCTGGTCTAGGGCGTCTTTTTGATGCTTTATTGTAAGTTGAACTTAGGGTGCAGGGATCTGAGGTATACTCCAAGTGCAGTAACAAGAGGACACTCTTCACTTTGTCAAAGCTTCTTAGCACAGTCCCTCCAGTAACAACTAACACATCAAACCCGACTTTGAAATCATGCGACCTACAGTGATGCCGCACAATTTCAAAGTAGGATGACATGCCGATTTCAGGTGCGATTAGCAAGACATCTGAGGTCTATACAAATTGCACCAAAAGTAGTGCATGTGCTACTTTAGAAATCGGTGCGGATCCAACCAAGTCGGAATCACACCGATGTGACCGCTGTAATTGCAGACAATAGGGTGCGACTTGGCATGCGATTTGGAAGTTGCATGCCAATTCACATGCAGTGTGACCGCCGGGGTGTAAGGGAATGTGCAGAACTGAGATATTATAAGAACTGTCCCAATTTAAGCCAGCTCTGGTGCTGATACACAAGGGATAGTAGCAGCAACAGTCCCTAGGATCCTACACATAGGTCTGTCTCACAATACTTGGATGCCTCCTTCAAATATCAGTCAGACCCAGGGGTGGACTGACAACTCATGGGGCCCCCAGGCAATAAGGGATCATGGGGCCCCTGTGTCCTCGCCCGCACCCAGAAAAGCCTATGAAAAAGCCAATGAAAGGTACCAGGGGAATCTCATGGGGCCCCCTACTGACCCTGGGCCCTCAGGCAATGCCCGAGTGCTCGAATGGTCAGTCCGCCCCTGGCCAGACCTTTCTCCCGTGAACTCTCCAGACCACATCCTCAGTGAAATCCCTTAGAGCCAGTTTATACTACATGCAATTCAGTTGCTTTTTTTTTCTGCATCCAAAAAGTAGGTGATATGGTTGTCAGTGTCATAGTTCACATCAGAGCTTGCGGTTTCAGTGCATTCCAGGTGCAGAAAAAAAAGTAGAACAGACTGCATTTTTCCTGCACAGAACTGTACTGGAACGTGGTAAAACGCATCAAAAATGCACCAAAATGCACACGTCCCTATTTAAATTGAAGGAAAAGAGAGGTAAAAAGAACTGGAAGGCATCAAAAATGCACCGGAATGTGTCAAAAACACGCATGCAGAAATGCTTCCGGGATGCATCTGGAATGCGTTTCCGTAGTGTGAACTGGCCCTTAGGGCTGGATCACACCAGATGAAGTCCAGTGCGGTTTTTTTTTTTCTGCATCAAAAATGCATTGTGACAGGAGTAATTTTGGGTGGGGGGCCCATGGAACCCAGCTCACTTTGGAGAGGTGGGGAGACCCCTGTCTCAGTTCCCCATATCCCTCTTATGTGTAAGTCACCCTGTGCCTGTTAGGGGTACAGGGTGATCTGTCCTAATATTGGGGTGGGGGGGTTGTTGATTGTTTGGTGTCATGTGGCTGCATCCCATTGTTCTATTGTGTGTCTTGCTTAAGAGCAAACTATTATGGGATGTATGTGTTTGTGTATTGGCTTGGTGGGGGGGGGGTGTCTCCAGCAGCCCTCCCTCCTGATGGGACTGTCTGTTGGTGTGTCTCTTGTTACTAAATGTAGATTGCCCCACCCTGTGTCATTATGCAGGGAGGGGGGATTGTTCCATTGAGTGTATATATCTTGTATCTGTGTTAAAATAAACTAGTCTACTTTCTGGATTACTTTAAATCTGGTGTCGTCTGGATCTTGGGGTAACAATAGCCGGATTTACTGGTCTCGTGTTCCAGATCCTGAGAAGTGGCTTCTTGACATAGATACCCAGTCGTGGGTGTCTAAGGTTCGTTACATGCATGCACAGTGTTCTGCATGTATTCCAATGGCCCTAGTTCACACCAGTGCAGTCACTTCCAGTCAGTTTCCGGTGCAGAAAAAAAAAAGTAGAACATGCTGCATTTTTTAATTTTTTATGTTGTGAAACACAGCAAAACTCATCAAGAACGCAATGTAGTGTGAACTGTAAGCAAAAACACATCCGGAGTGCGTTTTTGTGGTGTGAACTGCCCTTAACCCCTCGCCTACCAGGCACTTCCACCCCCTTCCTGCCCAGGCCAATTTTCAGTGCTTTCGCACTTTGAATGACAGTTGCGCGGTCATGCAACACTGTACCCATATGAAGTTTTTTATCATTTTTTTCACACACATAGAGCTTTCTTTTGGTGGTATTTAATCACCACTGGGGGGGTTTTTATTTTTTGCACTATAAACAAAGAAAGAGCAAAAAATTTGAAAAAAAAAAAAAAAGCTTTTCTTTGTTTCTATTATCAAATTTTGCGCACAGGTAATTTTTATCCTTCACTGATGTGCATTGATGAGGCTGCACTGATGGGCAGTGATAGGCAGCATCGATGGGCACTGATAGGCATCACTGATAGGCGGCACTGGTGGGCACTGACATGTAGCAATGATGGGCACTGATAGGCGGTGTTGACTGACAGGTGGCACTGGTGGGCATTGATGAGGAGGCACTGATATGCAGCAATTATGGGCACTGATAGTTGGAACTGCTGGGCAGCACTGATGATCAGTGCAGGTCTCATCTGTCACATTTTCCGGTTATGCTATGAAAGTGTGAGGAAAGTGCTGCCAATAACCTTCATTGGACACAGCTGATCACATGGTAAAAGGCCGCTGTGGTTGGAAAAGTCAGCATCCCCATAAAGCTCGTCTGTGGAAGGAAGCATGAAGTGCTCCAAAATCTCCTGGTAGACGGCTGTGGTGACCCTGGACTTAATGAAGCACAGTGGACCAACACCAGCAGAGGACATGGCTCCCCAAATCAACACAGACTGTGGAAACTTCACACTGGACTTCAAGCATCTTGCAGTGTGTGCCTCTCCATTCTTCCTCCATACTCGGGGTCCTTGTGCCTCTCCATTCTTCCTCCATACTCGGGGTCCTTGGGCTCTCCATTCTTCCTCCATACTCGGGGTCCTTGGGCCTCTCCATTCTTCCTCCATACTCGGGGCCCTTGTGGCTCTCCATTCTTCCGCCATACTCGGGGTCCTTGTGCCTCTCCATTCTTCCTCCATACTCGGGGTCCTTGTGCCTCTCCATTCTTCCTCCATACTCGGGGTCCTTGTGCCTCTCCATTCTTCCTCCATACTCGGGGTCCTTGTGCCTCTCCATTCTTCCTCCATACTCGGGGTCCTTGTGCCTCTCCATTCTTCCTCCATACTCGGGGTCCTTGTGCCTCTCCATTCTTCTCCATACTCGGGGTCCTTGGGCCTCTCCATTCTTCCTCCATACTCGGGGTCCTTGTGCCTCTCCATTCTTCCTCCATACTCGGGGTCCTTGGGCCTCTCCATTCTTTCTCCATACTCGGGGTCCTTGTGCCCTCTCCATTCTTCCTCCATACTCGGGGTCCTTGGGCCTCTCCATTCTTCCTCCATACTCGGGGTCCCTGGGCCTCTCCATTCTTCCTCCATATTCGGGGTCCTTGGGCCTCTCCATTCTTCCTCCATACTCGGGGTCCTTGGGCCTCTCCATTCTTCCTCTATATTCGGGGTCCTTGTGCCTCTCCATTCTTCCTCCATACTCGGGGTCCTTGGTTTCCAAATGAGATGCAAAAGTTGCTCTCATCAGAAAAGAGGACTTTGGACCACTGAGCAGCAGACCAGGTCTGTTTTTCTTTAGCCCATATAAGATGCTTCTGACGTTGTTTGTTGTTCAGGAGCGGCTTGACAAGAGGAATACGACATTTGAAGCCCATGTCCAGGATCCGTCTGTGTGTGGTGGCTCTTGATGCACTGACTTCAGCCTCAGTCCATTCCTTGTGAAAGTCCCCATCACTTTTGAATGGCCTTTTCCTGACAATCCTCTCCAGGCTGCGGTCATCCCTGCTGCTTGTGCACCTTTTTCTTCCACACTTTTCCTTCCACATAACTTTCTATTAATGTGCTTTGATACAGCACTTTGGGAACATCCAACTTCTTTTGCAATTCCCTTTTTGAGGCTTTCCCTCCTTATGGAGGGTGTCAGTGATGGTGTCAGGTCAGAGTCTTTCCCATGATTGTGATTCCTACTGAACCAGACTGAGAGACCATTTAAAGGCTCAGGAACCCTTTGCAGGTGTTATGGCTGAATGATCTGATTAGAGTGGGACACTTTGAGCCGAGAATATTCCACCTTTTCACAATATTCTCATTTTCTGAGATTGTGGATTTGGGGTTTTCATGAGCTGTAAGCCATAATCATCACAATGATGACAAATCACGGCTTGAACTATCTTGCTTTGCATGTAATGAGTCTCATATATTAGTTTCACCTTTTAAGTTGCTGCACTGAAATAAATGAACTTTTGCACCATATTCTAATTTTTTGAGTTTCACCTGTATGTAAAGCGCGGCGTAAATTGATGGCGCTATATAAGTACCTGTAATAAATAAATAATAATAAGTATTAACTTAAGGAATTCAGATTTTTTTTTGTATTTGGCCATCTTTGGTTGTATCTTCGCTTCTCCGGCTGAAAATTGTTTGTGGCTGTTCTGCGTAGTACACGGAGGTAAAACTGGCGTGAGGCTGCAGTGGTTTTGTGAAAATTCCCCAAATGGGTGAGAGCACAAAGGTATGGTAATTTAACCCCTCGCCCTCCTGAGGATTTACCCCCCCCCCCCCTTCCTAACCAGGCCATTTTTTGCAATACGGCGCTGCGTTACTTTAACACAATTAATTTACATCCTTTTTTTTTTTTCCCCACGAATTGAGCTTTCTTTCGGTGGTATTTGAATGCCTGTGTGTTTTTTTATTTTTTTGCGCTATAGGCAAAAAAAGGCTGAATTTTGTGAGAAAAAACTATTTTGGACTTTTTACTATTAAACCTGTCCAGTAAAAAAAAAAAAAATGTTAAAAATCAAATAGGTCAAAATGTATTCTGCTCCGTGTCTTTTCTTAAAAAAAAAAAAAAAAAATCCCAATACGGGTAAATTAATGGGTTTACATGAAAGTTATAGCGTATATATAATGGGATTTTTTTTTCTACTAGTAATGGCAGCGATCAGCGACTTTTACCGGGACTTTGGCGGACATTCTGACACTGGGGGGGGGGGGGGGGTGACTAAAAAGGTACCAGGGGCATCTCATGGGGCCCCCTACTGACCCGGGCCCTAGGGCAGTGCCCGAGTTTCCAAATGGTCAGTCCACCCCTGATCTAAGGTTCCTAACTCACATTCCTACATACACATACTAGGGCCAATTTAGACAGGAGCCAATTCACCTTCCACCATGTCTTTGGAGTGTGGGAGGAAACCGGAGTACCGAGAGGAAACCCATGCAGGCACAGGGAGAACATGCAAACTCCAGGCAGGTGGTGCTGTGGTGGGGATTTGAACCAACGACTCAAGTACTGCCAGGTGGAAGTGTTAACCATTTAGCCGCTGTGCTGCCCTTTTTAATACTTGTTCTGTCAGTGGCTCAACTGCCTCTACTACTTCTGCAATAAAATACGCCTTCCTCCCTGATCACAGCATTGTCTGGGACTGAGGGGCATGACCATCGAACACGTCAGTCGATCGGCGAGAGGAGGAGATCGTGATAACTTCCTCCTCAGTCGTGGCGCTTATTGGATCCATAACCTCGACACAACACAGCCGAGGGGACTTCATATGAACACATCATATTTGTGCTTTTTGGATCACAGATGAACTTTGGTTCGGATGATTCCTCATGATTGTTTTGTAGATAACTTTTGGTTTCGATCTTTCGCACTATTCACAGCGGTCTCTCTTTCTCTCTGCAAGCAGGTGAGCCATTCCTTTTTTTCCGTTTCTAGCCTCTTTTTCATCTTTTATCACTCCATTTTCTTCCACTTCTC